ACTTTAAATGTTATTGTAGTGATGTAGTCGACAGGTGATCGCACAGGCCGCCTGGTTGGAGGATTGCTTTGACGGCCTGGTGAAGGTTTGCAGACAGATTGCCTGTCTGAGTCCACCTGCACCGATGAGCGCAACTCACCTGTGATGGACTTGGTCCATTCCTATATGGTTTTATGCATGTGTCATTTTACAGTTAATCTCTGATTTACTACCATAGGCAACTTTGTCACTGTTTGTGCAACAATCCCCCTTTGCTTCTGTCTGCATGTACTGTAGACGGCTGACTTGTTGCTAACTTTACTCCATCAGTAGCTTTGGGGACAGAAACTGACTGCGAGTGGTTGCAGGTGGTCCCGTCTCTGAAGCAATCACTTCAAAGCAACGAGTTCTGTGAAATCTTTGCACAAAGTTGCAATAAGTTTGGTCGTGCCACATCTATCACAGTATTTTATATTCCTCGTACACATGTTAAGCTTATAAAAGCTGCTAATCCTGTCAGTTTGGTTGTAACAGGCTACAGATAAAAGCCGCTGGGTGCACTCTTTTACACTCATATACATTAGGAGACTTTTCCGGTCACAATATTAAATCTGCCTTGAAGGTGAAAATAGGAAAAAGTGCTGAACTCTGATTAAAATCATACTGAAGTGAGCAAAACCAAAATCAGGTTCCAAAAACAGCCCCGTCTTGTATTGAGGATCTCCCTCGATCGGAGCCGCTGCAGCTGGCTGTCCGCTCTTCCCGGAGCTTCGTGCTGTATTTGATGGCAGCGCTGCTGTATTGTGCAGCTCAGGCACTGGAGGGCAGACGATGAGCCGCCGTGCTACGCAGCTGGCTGGACGGCACATCAAAACAGCCCTGCTTTTTGTATCCCTGCCATTTTAAACAGAGCTTCACTAAGCCAATTCCCCCTGAAGAATGACCATCCATCGCCCTTTTTATCTGCCTCTTTGAAGTGCGGAGCTGTTGGGATAGTCTTGAGCCCAGGAAGAGAGGGGCAATTTGGATGTTAATCCTCGTCTGAGCACCAGAGATGTCAGCTGGAAAAAGTCAGGTGCTGGTGTAATTCCTGCTATTCCTCTGTAGCTTTTGTCTGAGGCTCCACCATCATCACATTCTCCAAGCAGCACACGCAGGTCGCTCCAAGCCGAATCAAGGAATTTTCCTTCCTAATGACTCGTCCATAGCGATCTGAAAAGGCCAGGTGCTCCAGCTTTTCTGGCGTTGCAGCACGTTTGCATTCAGGGCAGGAAACGGGACCGTCCATTCTAACGCTTGCACAACTTAAAAGGACGAGCGGGAAAGGGCTTTGTCTTCCTCCGGATTCCGAGGTTCACTATCAGTTTAACGCATGATCGAGGAAAAGGCTCGTTTTCCTTTGCAGTGCTGAAACCTTTTGATCTCAAAGGCTGTATCTCAGATGGGAGGACAACTAGGGCGGCATGCAAAGGTCAGAGGTACACACGGAAATCTTGGAGGCCACGTCACGTTAGCGTTTTCACGGCCGACCGGTTTTTCTATTGATTTATTTGGAAATATCTATATCTGAAAGTGCATTTTCATTTTTTTATTAGATGAAATGTGAGCGTAAAAGCTGGCGGCCGGCAGCAGATCCTCACAGCTATTATACATCTGCTCACATTTAATCGTCTCGATTATGTGTGTGTCCGTGTCTTTTTGCCACGGCTCTGTGTGGCGATCTCACAAACATCAGCTGGTAACGAGCTTCTCTGCCAATCCCGAGACATCATCAGGAGTTCATAACTTCAGCAGGACCTCAGGGTCAACATCTCAAATGTCTGCGTCAGACAGGGAAGCTTCTGATTTGAGCTTAAGAGCTTCACTTTAGCGAAGTGAAGTCGTGAAGATGAGCTGGAAACAGGAAGGAGTTTTATGAAAGGCAGGATCAGAGCGACCAAGCACACCGTGGTGAGATCAGTACATCAGGATTTATTCACTAGACATGGCAGCATTTCACTGCAGATGATGGAGAAATGGAGGATGTATGGAAGATTTATAGAGCTTCTTTCAAAAATATCTGAAAACTCAAGGACTGTGGTCACGTCAAAACTTCTGAAGCCTGCCTTTGTAAACCTGACGAAGCCTTTTGAGTCCAGCAAAGAGTCCTAGTCCTCATTTAGAAATTTCAGCCTGTTCTTTCTTGTATATTTCCAGCTCTGCAGATATACGGTTTATAAACCACAAATGAATCCACTGGAGGAAAAATTGCCAGAGGAACAAGTGAGGAGATGAGAGATGAAGTTTCAGTCTCCAGCTGCCAAAAAGTCTGACAGCTGCAACGGAGGTTTGATGAACTTCTCAGCCCACAGAAATCTTCACAAAATGAACTTTAGCTGAATATTTATTGGAACAAAGGAGATCCTTTTATTTTCAGATCACAATCCTCGGCTCTCAGATCTGGAGTCGACCCTTCGTGACTTTCTGACAGACTGCAGAAGAACTCGTTACGTCAAAGTTTAAATGAACTCCATCTGGTTGTCAGTTTGACTGGAAATCCTTTCTCTCTCCTGAACTGAGATCAGCCTCTCATCAGCGGCTCCGTGTGCACTGAGCGATCGACTGACCCGACAGGCTCTGCGTGTCTCCGATTTGATGAACGACTGATGACATTTGTGAAGCTGGAGGGTTCGTGAAGGTGTGCGGAGCAGCACATTTTAGAGATTTATTTCTAAACACTGGCTTCGTGTTAGAAACCAGACTGAATCATGCGGCTCCTTCCAATGTGGAGGAAGAGCAGCTCTGCTCCGAGTCACTCCCGAACCTCCGAGGGAGAATCCAGACGCCCCGGTGAGGACGCCTGTGTCTGCAGTGTTTTCTGGCACTGCCAGCAGCTCGTGGCCACAGGTGAGGGGAAGAATGCAGATCGATCAATAAATCGAAGGCTTTGCTTTCTCGCACAACAGAAAAAGCTCCGAAAGTTGTCGATGTCAGACAGGAAGTGTGACTGACGTGTTGGGTTCATGGCAGAGCTGTAACCTGGTATTTGGTCTTAACCTAGACCAACAGCTGATCAACCAGGTCTTGATATTTTTACACAGGCTAAGCTACCAGCCTATAAATGTTCATCCATCATCTTCCCAAATCACCTCTTCATGAGTTAGAAGAACAG